GAGGGAAGGAAGGAAGGAAGGAAGGAAGGAAGGAAGGAAGGAAGGAAGGAAGGACAGGCAAGGGTGTGGGCTAGCCTGGAAGCACAGTCTTCCGTCCAGTGGGAAGAAACTGCACGTGTCCCACCTGGGAGCAAAGAGGAGAGCTGTGACAGAGGACAGGCTGGTTCTCCATGCACAGCACTCTGAGGTTTACAAATACACCTGAAGCCCACTGGTCTTCCCCATCAGCTCAGGTGGCACGAGGAAGAAGAGAGAATGGTTGGGCCCTTTCACAGATGCTTCAGCAAGAACATAAGCATGTCAGGGATCAAGATAGAACTAGAAGACCGGGGAGCCGGCCCCAGGGGAGCTGAGGCACACCTCTCTCCCTCCCACCCCCTACTCTCTCAATGTCTGGTCTCATGTGGCCATGATAACTCACAGTGGCCATGGAGGATGGAAGGGGTGTCTGATGCCCCCATACCCAACATAGACCCAGCTGGGCTCTACCTGGTGCAGCTGGGAGCTGGTTCTCAGGGGCAGCAGTGTCTAACAGACCACCCCTGGCCCAGAACACCTTGAAGCCCCATTTATAGAAGACTTCCCAGAAACCCCCACCCCTCCTCTCCCATGCTCCTCCTGGCAGAGTTTCAAGCATCTGACCTCAGCAATGGCCCTTACCTCAGCTGGGCTTCTGGAAAAGGCTGCAGCCTGGGAAGGGGGCAGTGGGGGAATTTGTGGCCCCAGAGAACTAGAGCCAGAACTAGACATTTTCAAAAACAATGAAACTGCCTGGACCAAGCCCCACCTCAGGCAATCAGGGAGGCCTCCAAGAGGAGGTGGCCTCTTTCCCACCCTCTGTAGAACAGGTAGGGTGTCCTGGGTGTGCAGTATTTGGGGGCCTGGTGATGTCAATCTAGTGAGAGAGCAAAGGTCTAGAAGTGGGATCAGACCCAGGGAGGCAAATAACAAGCAGTCAGGACCCAGGAGGTACCAAAAGGAGGGAAGACTGGACCAGCCTTGGGGACAAGCCTTGAGGTTTCCACGGCTCCTTTAAGATCTCAGCAGGAAGGGTCCTGCCACCTGGGGACATAGTGAAGACAGGAAGAGTTAAGAAGGGGGACAGACCACCCAGGCAGGCAATGGAACTGTCTGAGGTTAGAAAGCTAGAGTTCTCTCGGGCTCATGTGCTGTGTGGCTTGGGCATATTCAACCTCCCTGATCCTCGTCTGGGATGTGGGAAGTGTATACTTGTGAAGATCCAGCTTTGCAAACTGTAGCTAACTGGTCCCCTTGCCAGACCAGTGTTACTCTGAAAGAAAGGCAGGGTGCAGCTTTGAATAGTGAGGAATGGCCACGCCCGCCCCTGCCACCTCCTCCTTCTCTGGTTGCAAACTCTCACTGTTCCTTCCCCAGTGACATCTGTCTGGGAGAAATTTAAAATTTAAAACGGGCAGCCCCATTATCTGCTCTCCTTGGCGAATGGCCTCCTCAATACGCCTGTCTATCCCAGTCCCTTGATGGCTCAGCCTGGGGCAGTCCTGCGGCCACCCCAATGCCTCAGACGCTGGATGCCCAGTACCTCAGCAGCCCCTCCCTGCTCTGTCCCAGCTGCTGCAGTGCACAGCCCTGGGCACCCTCCAAGCCGGGACACTTCACTGTTCCTGCAGAGGTAGTAGGAAGAGAAGATCAGCCAGACTCAGGTTCAAATCCCTATAGGGCTGCGTGGCCTCGGGCTGCAGCAGGACCTCTCTGAGCCTTGTTCTCCTGTTCTTAAAGTCAGAGACTCACAGTGCCTAGGCTTCTTATAGGAGATTAATATTACTGTTCCCCAGTTGAATTTGGGCGCCTGGGTAAAGAGGGCGGACTTGGGGAGCCGGTCCTGTTCTTGAAGCCTGGAAAGATGTGCGGGGTGCCCGGCACAGGTTAAGGAATTGCAAGTGAGGAGGACCCCATTGAGGCTGTAGGAGAACGGGACTCTGCGCGCCGGTCATCTGTCGGCTGTCCCCAACAGAAGGACTGATCCACAACCAAGTATAGGGCCTCTCTCCCCTCTGCACGAGCAGCACAGGGGTCTCCGGTGGGGGGTGGGGACTGGCTGCAGCGTGTGCCTTCTGCAGGGAGCCCAGAGTTCAAGTCTCCGCTGAGAGAAGGAGAAGAGCAGGTGCTCCCCCTAAGCTCTGCACAAGCTCCCCAAACTCCAGCCCCCACAGCCGTCCCCGCGCCCGTGGGTACCTGCGGTTTGTCGCGCGGTCGGTCCTCAAGTTGGGACGCGCCGCCCACGGTCTTCCACCGCTCGTGGACCATCTTCCCGCAGGACCCGCGGGGGTGCAGGGCGAGGGCGAGCGCAAAGGAGGCGAGGGGTGCGCAGGGTGCGTTGCACTCGCAAGAAGTCCCCTCGGTACCGGGTATCCGCGGTGGCCCGGGAGCGGCGGCCGCCAGCTAGGCTGCGTGTGAGCGCGTGTGATCGCTGGGAGCGCGGGCGCGAGCCTCTGAGAGCCGCCCGCGCCGCGCCGTCCCCGCGTCCCGCTCCCGCGCCTCCCGCGCGCTCCGCCCTCTTCCTCCCTGCTCAGTCTCCGCGGCTCCGTCTGGGACGCTCGGGGCCTTTTATTGCTCCCCGCGGCTTCCCGGGCACGCGCGCGCGCCCCCCTGAGGGCTCTAAGAGTGACTCCCGCTCCAGCCCGGTCGCTGGGGGGTGAGGGGGACTAGCCAGCAGCAGCGGGCAGCCACGGGCTCCCCGAGGAACCTGTGCGCCCTGCGGAGCCCCGCGCAAACTTCCTCTCGGGCGGGACTCGTCTAAGTCCCCAGGTGCGGGGCTCACACCTAAGGAAGGGGCTAAGCGGAGGCCGGGTGTCCCTTGCGGGGCTTCGGGGTTCTAGGTCCCGGGGCAAGTGTGCGCGTGGCCCGCTAATCTCCAGCCCTGGCACCTGGTACTCGAGTCCCCGACTCCGCAGCCGGGATGCTGCACGCCCCCATGGCATCTGCCCACCCGGGGTCCCCGCCAACACCTTGCCCCCCCCCCCCACCTCCTCAGAGCCGGCTTGGAGCTATCCCAACCGCGGGAGGAGGGATCTGAGCCACCAGTGGGGGCTTCTCAGTTGTCCCTCCCACCAGCAACACTTTTTAAAGCGTTTAATCCGCCCGAGCAGCCTTCGGAGGTAATTGACAAAGTCCTTAATCTGCGCGGTTAACGAGCTGCTGTTGTGGCTCCGACCGCGTGGCTCCCACGCGCCCCACGCCGCGCCCCGCCAGCCGCCCTTCCCCCAGCTCCGCAGAGACGACTGGGCCCCCCGCTATTTCTTAAAGCTGTTTTCCGGCTCCGGGGCGCTCTGGCCGCCTTGCTGTTCCCTGGCACTGGCGTCGTCTCTCTCCCACCGGTTTCCAGTCTGTCGCCCCATCTTAGTCTTCGTTCCTCTTCTCGTCCCTCTAGGTGCCTGGCAAGCGTGGGGCAGGCCTTGTGAGGGTGGGGCCCGAGCCTAACACAGGCAGAGTGGTCCCCGGGATCACAGCTGGAGCTAGGCACCGTGGCCACATGCCCTCCCAGACTGTCACCAGCCAGAAACTGGGTCCCATAGTTTGCACTTCCAGTATAACCGGTAACTTCCAGTGTTACCGGTGGCTGGCGTCTCCTGCAGTCCCAGGCAGGCTTGCCTCCAGCAAGCTGCGGGAGTTACTTACTGCCCAGTAACCCTGGGCTGGGGTCGGAAGTGCACTCCTTGAGGATGCACCTGTGTCGCCCTGCACCCTCCTCCAATTCTCTCATCACTTAAGAGGGTTGTGGATAACCCGGAGATCCTTCAGGCCTAAGCAGGAAATCGTGTTCCCCTTGTATCTAACGGGTTAACAGCACCTCACTCTGAAGGGCTATCTCTTGTGGGGTTCCGAGGCAGGCACCATACATACGCATCTGAGGAGTGAGGGCTCAGACTTTCCTGCTGTAACCTCAGGGAGGATTCATGCTCTCTCAGAGCCTGTTTCCTCACTGAGCAAGCAAGCATGGATGAGAAGGAGGGTTTCCCCGAGCCCCTCACAAGAAGCAGGTGTTAGGGATCCCAAGTCTGATCCCGCAGTGCCTGGAGAGAATTTTGACACCAGGCAAGGTGTGCACTAAAAATCACCCTGGGCGGTCCTGAACGGGGAAAGTGTTCAAAGGTCCCAGGGTGTACACGGAGAGTGGTCAGCCTCTTTAGGGTGGGGATGCTTGGTTCAGGGGACGCCACTTTGATGGTTGAGACAAGGGAAGCTAAGCTGAGTGGAAGACAGCAAGCTCGACAAGCAGGTGTGTGTGCATGTAGCCTTCAGGACATCTGCTCTGGGCCTGTGGAAGGACAGGTAATCGGGGGCCACCTAGCGGTTCCTCCCGGCAGTGTTCGCTGCTGGGACCTGTCACCTACTCAGCGAGTCCCCAGTTCTCCTGCTTGCTGCGGTGCAGACAGGGGTGCTGTGGGCCTTGTCCTATCACCACTCTGCAACAGCTGTGCTCTAGGCTCAGGTGACACGAGGAGGGTCAGTGGTGGTCCCGGGATTGGCAGGAGCACACTCAGTCTCTGTACACTTCACTAACCCGGCACACACAGGCTCATCAGCCCCACAGGCTCATCAGCCCCACAGGGACGTATGACCTAACGAAGGAGAAGCTCCTGGGAGAAGCACCAGAGCAGACCAACACGGTCCCCATTGCTGTGACTTTTTACCAGGCTGATAGGGGCCAAGCGTCAGGGCTAAGTATGGCTGAGATTAGCATGCTGGCCTTAGCAGAAGCAGCCTTTTAGCCAGCTCAGGGACCAGACAGGGCCTCACAAAAGACAGAACCCAGGACTTATGAACTACAAAGACTTAATCCAGAACTATGTGACTGATCCATCCTCTCTGACTCACCATGTATTCAGAGTTGTTACTGTTGTTGTTGTTGTTGTTGTTGTTCTTCTTCTTCTTCTTCTTCTTCTTCTTCTTCTTCTTCTCCCTCCTCTTCTTCCTCCTCCTCCTCTTCTTCCTCTCCCTCCTCTTCTTCCTCCTCCTCCTCTTCTTCCTCTTCCTCCTCTTCTTCCTCTTCCGCCTTCTCCTCTGTCTTTTTTCCTTCTCCTTCTTCTTCTCTTCTCCTTTTCCTGCTTCTCTGCCTCCTGCTCCTCCTCCTACCTGTTCCCAAAGTCCCCTGAGTGTGATAACTCCAACTGTCAGGCAGTTACAGTCTGGAAATTTTAGTTGAGATTCTAGAGATAGGGTCTGGTCAGGTCCTGCCCTTCCTTCTGAGCCTGGATCCATCAATCACAAGCTGTCAGCTGGCCCAAGGTAGCTGCCCTCCCCAAGGTCCTCACTGCAGTGTAATGGGGGGGGGGATCATAGCTGCTGGCTGTCTTCAAAGGGAGGGGCACAGGATAGACATGAGGACAGAAGTGAAGAGAGACGAAGAAGAGATAAGAGAAAGTAGCTAGGGGCCTAGAGTGACAACATGCCTCTGGACTGGCCGAAGTGGCCGCCATCTCTGGAGTATTACCCTTCCATACAGCTCTGCGTGGGGCAGCAGGGTTCTCCCAGACATCCTCACAGATCAGAGCTATCATTAGATTCATTCAAGGGTGGTGAAACGGACTAAGAAATACAGTTAAATAATTTACCTAACAGCCTAAAACCATGTGGTTAACACCGAGTCGTAGCTTAGTAAGGATTCCTCACATGTAGGACACCATGAGTATCAACAGATTTCACACACCATCTCCTCTCCGAAGCCCTGTGAATGGTGGTAATACGCCCATTTTAAAGACGAGGCAACTGAAGATCAGAGATGCTAAATACCTTGATCAAGATCACACAGAAGCTGGTAGATCCAGAATCCTGGGCTATGCTCTGCTGGAGCACGAGAGTCTCAGTGCTTGCTGGTCTCGGATATTCCCAGAGAGCATTGCATGCAGCAGCAGAGCTTCGGAACGTGGGCTGCATGTCAAATGTGCCTGTCTCCGGAGACCTGGAGGCAGTGGGCCAGGAGGTCAAGACTTCTGGCCCCGTCCACCCACCTCTCCCCTGCGCTGCCCGGGGCACTTCACTCTTCTGGTAAAGCGGTTTCAACTCACCTCTGACAGTCACATTTATCATTAAAAATAAATTCATCCTGGCTCCCCTTGGCATGGGAAGGTGCCGTGCAGTGATTCAGTGGGCTTGTCACCCTCTCCGTTAGATGCGGGGAGCTGAACAACTGGATGGGCTCCAGCGCCAGCGCCTCATTTTCTGCACTGGAGCCAGAAATGTACAGTGGGCTGACATTTAATTTAGAATCCAACATACCTTGACACAACTCATAATACAAAGGCGGGGGTGGGTGGGGGCTGCCAAGCTGGGCAGGGATGGGGGAGTCCGAGTGATGGGGTGGATTTATTTATTTATCTATTTCTTTCTTTCTTTCCTTTCTTTTTCCTTTTTTTTTTTTTTTTTACTTTTGCTTTGTCAACATGATGGTAAGCCAGAGGCTGCTATCAAAGGCAAGAATTAGCAGAGACCAAGTATATGTGTAGCATGTGTGCGTGAGAGAGAGAGAGAGAGAGAGAGAGAGAGAGAGAGAGAGAGAGAAAGAGAGAGAGAGAGAGAGAGAGTTGTGTCCATGCCTTGAGTCCACTGGACAGCATCTTTCAAGTCTTGAGGTCAGTCTATCAGATGTTACCGTTACTGGAGAAGCATGTGCCCAGGCTGAGCTATGACGGCTGGCCTTGGCACATATCCGGGAGCTGGACAGTACAGTCCTTCTGTGAATGGCACCTGTACCTTCCATCCCTGTGTCCCTAGCACTTTGCCCAGATCCTCTGAGATATACTCAGTGCTCAGTAAATACAGGGCATGAAGGAAATATGTCATCTTAAACATTTCAGCCGAGATTCTCTCAGGAAGAAAGCTGGGTTTTATTGGACAGAGAGTCTGATGAGCCATTTAGTTGTCGAAATTGGAGGGTCACTGGGCTGGGGAGATGGACATGGTTCACTGGGTAAAGTGCTTGCTCTGCAAACACGAGGATCCCAGCACCCACATAAAAGCCGGGTGCAGCGCATCTGTATTTCCTAGCACGGGGGTGCAGAAACAGGATTCCTGGGACTTGGTGGCCAGACAGTGTTACCAAAGTGTCGAGCTTCAGGTTCATTGAAGTCCTTATGTAAAAAAAAAAAAAAAAAAAAAAAAAGAAAAAAAAAAGAAAAAGGTGGGGGAATGATCAAGAAACCCAAGAGAAGTAAGGACCTGGGAGAAAACAGAGTGGAGCACCCTGGAGGGAGGGTGGAAGCTAGCCAGCGCATGCCGAGGGTAGAGGTGGTGTGCTTCTCAAGACCCCGACACCCCTGAGGCTGGGAGAAGAGAAAACAGGAAAAAAAAGTAGCTGGGAGCGGAGAAGCCCAGAGGCAGAGTCCACCACTAGGTAGGAAACCCAAGTAGGCAGGACAGGAAGCAAGTAGGATGCCCCAGGCCAGCTCGGTTAAGTGTGTGCCATGTGGCTGGCCTCTAAGTGCCCTCCGTATTTCCACATGACAGGAAGAGAGGAGGGGAATCCATAGA